TAATAATTACATGTACAAACACATTGCAACAGCTGTAACTTACCAAGGATTCTTCAGGCTCACATCTAATATATTTTCTGATAAATTCAATAAGATATGCGATAGTTTTGCTTCCTTCTACAGTCCACTTTTTCTTTTTCATTATKGGTGCATCACCAGCAGCTTTTAAGAGAACTTCAACTGGAAAAACAGGACGAAAATTAACTTATGCAGTGTAAGTTAAGTTTATAGGGGTCATCATCTCAAACATCTTGACGCGATTTGACAGACTTATCGTAAGCCATTCGATCCAAAATCAATTACCCTTTTGTTTATCTCCATCTTTAGGAGCTGGATCCTTCACTTTAGGCGCAGCTTTCGTATTTTCCTCGCCAGCATTCTCTTTGTCTACTTTCTGCTCAGCATCCGCCATCTTGAATTGTTCTGGTCAGCGGTGAGGTCAGTGGGCTCAAATTTCAATATGGCGGACGAAATGGTGTTTTGAATGATTTGTSTTCTCCTTGAATCAAATAAATAATATGCCTCGTGGAGTTAAAGTTGAGCGTCCTGTATCTACCGAGACTGTAGAGGTAATATATTTTGAATAGTCTGCATAGCTGTTTGATACCTTAGGCCATATAACGTGAACTGTTTCTTTCAATAGCATGCAGTTCAAGCATCAACCTTACTTGTCCTTCATCCAGGATCCACAACAATGTGGCTTGGCCGTGCTACTGATCATCTACCAAAGAGCTACCCGCATGTTATTGCGTGGCGAAAGCCTCATYATTGTAATATTCCACCTTCTTGTGATGGTATGTTGGAAAGAGAAGGTATTTAYCATCCAGACAGTGAAACACAAAGGGAACTTGCGTTGAGTGTTGTAGAACAAGCCATTTGGTCAAGAAATTCAAGTCTAGGGACAAGTCGTAGTAAGACGCAGATATCTGCTAGTCAGGTGGGACTGATAATGATATGTGAGATGTTATGCATATTTAATTCCTTAATATAAATATTGAAAATCAACAACCTCGTTCCCAGGGCCATCACGGACTCCACAAAATGGCCGGTCGTCCAGCGATGACCCTGGCAAACACTGAACTAAGGCGCTTTGTGATTGGCTGATAAAGACGTCATTCTTATACCGCTTGCCATTGGATGTTTATTTTTAAGATATGTTCGGCTATCAATCGGGGTTTGTTCGACCAGATTCGACCGTTATTTTGAGACCCTCTTTGAATGCGTCCAATTTTCCGAAGAGTTTGATGTCCGTTTTATCGATCAAAAGGCAATAATACTGCTTCAAATTTACGTCAGTTGTCTTTTCGTGTATTCTTTATCTCATGTATGCTTTTGAGAAGCCAGCCCAAGATGTAAGTAATTAATCCCGGCCGATATATTTACTGTATTTTAGCGAAAGCGTTGATGTTTTGAAACTACTCCTTGTACTTATATTGCCGATTGAATGGAAATTATGAAATAAACAATAAGTTAAAATGTTTTTGTTCAGTCAGATAAACAAAATGTCGACCCACCACAGCTAGCCCGATTAAAAACGTTGGGTTTACGTTGCGAACGAATAGATTGACACGTGATCAAATAGTCCATGTATCGTGGACTATTTGATCACGTGATAATCAGTGTTTGCCAGGGTCATCGCTGGACGACCGGCCATTTTGTGGAGTCCGTGATGGCCCTGGGAACGAGGTTGGAAAATCAAGTAAAACTTTCACTGCATTAGTGGTTTTGTCTTGCTAGAGCGTGTTAATGATTTTGCAACTGTCAAAGGTCATCGTTACTCACCTGATGCTGATGCCAGAGAACACTTTGAATTTGAAAAGATCTGAGTTTTTGCAAACTTGAATACAGTAAAATTTACCAATCGAAAAATGATATACCAATAAGCAAAAAAATGTTGATGTTTTTAGATTGCACAGTTTAATGGCAATATTGAGCCTGACATGTTAGACAAAGAGGATTGCTCTGTAGAATGGACTGATGTCAGCTCACAGCCGAAGTTTGTAACTGGAGAACAGGTAAATGGAAGTTTTGATTTTAATTTTATCTGTNATTGTAATATTCCACCTTCTTGTGATGGTATGTTGGAAAGAGAAGGTATTTATCATCCAGACAGTGAAACACAAAGGGAACTTGCGTTGAGTGTTGTAGAACAAGCCATTTGGTCAAGAAATTCAAGTCTAGGGACAAGTCGTAGTAAGACGCAGATATCTGCTAGTCAGGTGCGACTGATAATGATATTGAATACGCATAGATTTTTGACAGATGTTATGCATTTAATTCCTTGGGTTGATATAAATATTGAGAATCCAGTAAAACTTTCTCTTTGCTGGTGGTTGTGTCTTTGCTATAGAGCAGAATATTAATGATTTCAGTGCAACTGTAAATGGTCATCGTTACTCACACGGCTGGTGCTGATTCCAGAAAACACCTCAAATGTAAAAAAGATTTGGGATATTGTACTGTACATTCTCAGGAAATTGTTATAGTTATATGTAAAATTTGCTCCAATTGAAAAATGGTATACCAATAATATAGATGTTTTTAGATTGCACAGTTTAATGGCAATATTGAGCCTGACATGTTAGACAAAGAGGATTGCTCTGTAGAATGGACTGATGTCAGCTCACAGCCGAAGTTTGTAACTGGAGAACAGGTAAATGGAAGTTTTGATTTTAATTTTATCTGTCGATTTTTAAGCAAGAGTTGACGGTATTATTAAAATGATTAATTGTGATTAATAACATATTGCATATCATAGCAAAGCATTTTGTATTTGTAGGCCCTTTATATAGACCCTAAAGAGCCCTACATGATACACTGGCCCATCAAACAAGGATGCYTGAACATACACAATGGGGTTGGTGGCTCACTGACGGCAATCAGTGAAGATCTTGAGAGAATATGGGCAAATGCAATAAAAGCAACTTTGGACATTTCATTAAGCGATTTATCTGTAAGTTATAATGCATTCAATTGAAAAGTAGATTGACCCACACAGTCTTTGTTAAAATATTGTTTATGATTACTTCTATAGTGTATTTTTGCCATGATTTCTTGAACACCAAAGCTCTGCTATCAAATCCAATTTGATCATTTTTTATTGTTATTGCTAAGACAGCGATACTAAAGTATGTTGGTTAATGGTATTTATAGAATCGTTCTGTTTTGACAGCTTTATAGGGCAGTACTTGTGATTCCTGACTCATTTAACAAGAATCATATCAAGGAAATGATGGATATTCTTATTAACAGATTAAAGTTTTCTTCAGCCATCATACAGAAGGTCAGTGGATTTATAAGTAAACTGCATGGAGATGAAATATTACATTATATTACATATTAAGTAACAATGCGCTAAAGAACTAGGGAGCTCTCTATTGTTCTGCGGCATAGCAAGTTCCCCATGTACGAATGTCTTGGTTTTCACACTGATTATGTATTAACCTGTGGATAACACATTTTTGAAATAAAATGTGGATAAACTCTATTTTGAAACAAAGTTTCTTTTGTATTAAAAGCTCTTATCCAATCATAAGCACTCAAAACAATAGCCAAAAGATGCTTCTAATTTGCAATGTTCCCCACATAGAATTGCCTTAATATTGAAGCTAAAGAATGCTTCCATGAAAGCGAAAACAGACATTAAATAAAATATTAGAAAATTCCCTAACTTGTGAAATTATAGCAGATTTTCATGTTTTAACCAATGGGATGGCTGGATTATACAATGCATAATTAGCACCTTCTTGCATTCCTATGCCGTTTGCTTCCCTAGTTCTTACTCGGGGCATTACTTAAATTTACTTTTTGCTCCATGTGTCATTTTCTTTATCATTTATAGGAATCTGTCTGCTCTACATTCGGATGTGGTTTGAGTACTGCATGTGTAGTGGATGTTGGTGATGAGAAAACAAGCCTTTGTTGTGTTGAAGATGGACTTGTCATTCCAAATACCAAGTATACTTCTAATACTTATTATAAAACTTATTAATAATGCATAAGCTATTGCTCCAATAAGGGCTGACCATTTAATCAGGTGATTGACCTTGTAAATCTGATACAACCACATGTGGTTGTATCAGATTTACAACACGGTCGTCACCATTGAGACAACCCAACACTAGCAAAGGTCTCAGTTTTAGTGTCGCATCATAGACCTTCACTAGGTTTTGAAGCAATCAAAGACGGATAACAGAACTCGCTTATGCAACAGATGGCTTGCTTTCCATGTGGGATGGATAATTATTCAAAATATTCTGTGTTGCAGTAAATTGCGCATGCTTAATAGGGACTAAACTCAGCAGTTACCTTATTTGTCATTTTTYGTCATTTATCTCACTGTAATTCATGTTAATTTGTGTTGGAGTTTTATAAGTCGTTTACAACATTCGTGTCCGTGTTGTATGGGAATTACAATCTCTCGCCTGCGGCTCGAGATTGTAATTCCCATACAACACGGCCGCTCATGTTGTAAACTATACATAATATATGCAATTTAAGAATAGCTAGACAATGTAATTTTCTTACAAGATCCTTGAAGAAAAATAAACAAAGTTCATATGACCAAGACCAAGATCTGCTCAAAAACCTAACTATTTACTAATCTTCCAACTTTCATTTTTTTTCTTCAAAATCATTGTTCAGATTATGGCTACGTTATGGTGGAAGAGATATAACTCGTTGTTTCTTCTGGCTACTCAAAAAGGTATGTCACTCTGTGCTTGATTTATGGAAGACTAAAAACTGAATAAAGATAGTGAAATGATAATATGTTTCTTCCTCATTGAGTTACTGCTTTAATTTCCACAGGTTAACTTCCCATACAAGGAATGTGACTTGAAGAGCAATCTTGACACATTTATGCTCACTGAACTCAAAGAAACTTTCTGCCATCTTAGTCCTGTAGGTGTTCAAATCATGCTTTCATTCRGTAAATTATTTATGTTTGATGTAAGTGGTTTTGTTTTGGACAGGATATAGTTGGTGGCCAAGTGCATGAATTTCAGGTCCACCATCCCAACAGGGCACCTTTGTCTTTCAACCTTAAGATTGGAAATGAAGCAATGCAGGCTCCCATGGTAAGGCTACTGGTCTACGTAAAAAGTCTTGATTATTGTTTACTTTGCTTCAGTTCATGGTTTTAGTTAGCCTCCTCATTTCATTTGAATATCAGGCAATGTTCTTCCCTCAACTTTTCGGCATTGTTGGTCAACAATTGGTAGCTACAGCTGATGTTCCATACGATGACCCTGAAGACCTTCTTGATGACCGTTATTTACTTGAGGTACATACCATTCCATTGCTTCCTATTCATGACCCYTTTTTACAATAAACCTGTTTTCATGATCGGTATTATTGCTTTGTTAAAACATTTGAAATTTTGGCCATTGCTCAGCTCAGCTCAGCTCAGAGCAAAGATAAAAATAGTTATTCATGTGCCAAATTTTACAGAGAAATATGCCTTGGTAACACATCAGTGCAGRTACATAATTCCCTCCAACAAGGGCACATTTATGTCTTTATTATCTTATTCTCAATTAACTTCAGAAACCTAGTAGTTTTTATTATTATCTAACAGTCTCAACGAGGAGATCAATCAAGCAAAAAGACTACAGCAGCAAGTGATGTTGCCAGTGAAGCTGATCAAGATACAGTTTCTCCTGCCATCCCTGGAAATAGAAAACGACCACTTACTGAAACAATAGAAAAGATGCTGGCACTTGACCAGGCTGTTATACAAAGCATTGAATGTTGTCGTAAGTATCACAATTTAGATACTACTAAGTGTGGTTGTTCAGTCTCTTTCAAAACCTGTTATAGTGTCGGCCTTCCTGTCTCATGGCATGTTTTCTCAGGTTCTGTTATCTTTTATGTATGTTTGTGAGCTGGCTCTCTTTTTCTACGGTTCTTCTCAGTGTGAGATTCTTCAGCTTTGTCCGCGTTAAGGCAATGATACTGTGTGTTGATCTTTGAGCTGAGAAAGTGTGTGAACCGAATGTATACGAAGCAATCGTTTCCTAACGTTTTTATCTAATCGGGATACCTGCGTTCTCTCCTAGAGATCGAAAACCAGTACTCCTCCTTTGTATTTTTTTCTTTGTATGTCATCTATTTTCCATTCATTTCTTCATTTATTTTATTTGCAGCAAGTGAAGACACTAAACGTAAAATGTACGGTAATATTTTGTTAGTCGGTGGTGGTTTTAGCTTTAATGGTGCTGCAGCTATGTTACAAGCACGAGTACAAGCCAAGTTACCGACCTATCTGCGCAAACTCATTGATCAGGTTGAGGTGATTGCTAGACCAAAGGTATGTGCCTTGAATCGCATTATTGGTGGCATGAATGGGGGAAATGAAAAAGGGTCGGCGTGGTTTTCCTCACATTTCGCGTGCTCTGAAGGACTGTTGCCGAATAAAACTTTATAAGGTGTACCCTCCCTATTTGAATATGCGCACAGAGCATATTTCTCGAATATAGAGTAATAGCCTGATGGGCAAGTGTTTCTTTTGTGTCAACAATTATCATTGATTGTTTTGGTTTATCTGTGGAAAATACTGTCCAGCCTGTTTTGAGTGGATACCCCTAGGGAAACACAGGTTCAGATTTGTTAGAGATCAAGTTTATAGTGAATATAATATATATGAGAAACGAATTTTGGGAAAATTGATAAGAAGCGACTTCTTTATGAAGAAGGGTAATCGGCAAATAGAAGGCCGCTTAATAGAGATTCGACTGTGAAACCAAGGCACTCTTCTTCGCAGCCGGTTTAAGTTATCCGACAACAGGCAGCGAAGGAGTGTACAATCTAACATGATTATAAAATCTGCTGCATCTTAAGATGAATGCTCACTATCTTACAGGAGATGGATCCTCGTATAGTGGTGTGGAAAGGTGGCGCTGTGTTAAGTATCTTAGATTCAGTCCAAGAGCTATGGATTACCGAGCAAGAATGGAATATGATAGGAATACGTGCTCTAAGAGAAAAGTCATTGTTTGTGTGGTCTTCTATTTAAAGATGTCTTAGTAAAAWCCCTGAATGGCTTAACAAGTCCAACTCATGAACAGCGTCAACGCTCTCCTTACTGACGCGCACATCAAAAGAAATTGGAACAAAGAAGTTAGTGGATCKAATTTCCGCCATTACTAATAACTAAAGGCAATAAGTTGCGAAAGGAAAGATGTAGATAAAGCTGGAGAAACTCACAGTATCACGGAACAGAGACTATAATTGACACAAAAAGTGTATTGTATATAATGTCACAGTTCTTTTGAGAGTAGTAAAATTCTATATATCTCTTCCATGAAAATGGTTTGAGTACTTGATATATATGGACGATGTGACGTAAAAACAAGATTTTTATGACGTATATGTTTTCTTTGGGCATTTGTTATGAAAGTCTTGACTTACGTCACATACATCATATTGATCGAATATTGACGAACCAAAATAATGAYTTAAAGATATATAATCTATTAATAGAAATCTAGCTATAGTGACTTTTTAAGGTTTTCGGAAGCTTCTAAAATGAATTGATTATTATTTACAAATACTGGCGATATAGCTCTCAACGAACACCAACCCGTATTAACTTCTAGCCAACTTAAACTGAATTGATTATAATACAGCTCTCAACGAGCAGCAATCTGTATCAACTTCTACTCAACAATCACATGCTCTTTCTAATGATCAAATGAGTTTGTTTTCCTGAGGCCCTCTGGGCTGTTAATGATGTCACCGCACAATGGTTCCTAATTATGGATGCACCTGTTTCGATTAGCTCGGCGTTTTTTGAGATTCGACTGATTTAACTTTCTGATAATCAAATCTTAAACCTTTTTAACATTTGAGATTTTTCTCAGTATTACTGGAAAAATAACCGTTTATTAAGTTCATGAAGTTATTTTTTCTTTAGCGCCTTCTTTTGAAGTTTAAATTCTATATAAACAATCTTAGAACTCCCTTTTATTCCTATTCAGTACACTCTTACAGGAAGCAGTTGTTTTCCTACGTACGTAATTAATTAAAAAAAAACTTTAGTTGATTRGGTGGTAGGAAAGTTACGAGTGTTTGAAACGGTGACGCTTCAAGGCGAGAGTAGATTTGGCATGGCTAACAGTACCAACTATKCCTTTTTGCCTGTAGAAAATCGCGTCAAACTCGCCCTCTACTCATTTGTTGGWATWTTTGGCATTTATGCTGTTTTTGCGAACAGTTTGATTCTACACTTCAAGAGAAAACAAAACCAACGAAGAAAGCGGAGGTTTAAAAAAGCGTTTGATCGTTTTATGGTGACAAGCGTGTTTGTTCAAAGTCTTGCTGCATCTGACTTRCTGTGCGCTGTTGTTTCCCTACCATTGGCTATCACTWCAAACTTTGTACAYATCATTGACACGGACTTGACGTGCAAGGCAGTTAGGTTCTGCAATATCTTTTTTCCTGTAGTGACCATTTCTAACTTGTTTGTCATTGGAGTAGAGAGATACCTTGCAATCTTCCATCCTTTTCAAGTACCGTCCTTGCGTCGTGTAAAGGGCTTGGTGGTGGCTTCCTGGGTTCTCAGTGTACTCTTCACAATTATACCATCTTTGACCTATCGACTTGTTCGACGCGACTTAGATCAAGGCTTCACTTTTCTTTGTGCCCAAGATAAAAGTGTTCCTATTTACAGGATTATGTTCCTGGGTTTTTCTATCATAGTTTACGTCGTTCCTGCTATGATTCTAGCTGTGACAAGTACTCGRATACTCCTGTATATGAAAAAGCGYAGAATGAATTTACCAAGCCAGCGCATTCGCCTTACCTACTGGAGGTTTTATGGAACTTTCACATTTGTCGCTTTGATTTTTACTTTTATAATACCTTATTTCTCATTCATTGTTTTCTCGGGACTTAATATTATGCTTAAATTAGAGTTAACGTTAACAAGCGAGTATATTTTGAGAAGGATAAGCGCTGTTTTAGCTTACTCTAATACAGCTGTGAGCCCCACTGTGATATTATATAGTATGCAGGACTTGAGAAGGATGCTAAGAAAGAGATKMTTTGGGAATAATGATGCTSYCATCACACGTCCTTTGCGTTTTACTCGAAGAAATGCTGTGGGTCCTWATGCTCTAGATCTYTGCMTCCCTGCCATGTCACAAACAATGCCTTCTTCCTCTCTCTGTGAAAATATGGACGATATGTTTGCAMAAGCACACAACGCAAGACGATTCACGGTAACTTCAAAGCTKTAATTCATGTTCCATCAGCAAAAACAAACACTTTACACTTTATATTTTTATTCGCAAAAGACAAAATATAAACATAAAATTGCTTATTGTACCAGTATTGTAATATAGTACAAATATATAACACCGTTTAGATAAAAGTTTCTGTCGAGATAATTATCGAAGAAGACATTGACGGAAATTTTACATGAAACTTTAAGTAGTTGAGGACCTTTCTCCTTTGAAATTATAAATTAAAAGGCTCATCAATTGACACATTTAAAGTCCTCTAACTACTTCTGAACAATCTACATGTATTCAATATAGTTGTGTATACAATTTATATATAATACATATATAATCAAGTGTTCTAACATCTATTATCACTAGGTAATCGAATCAGTTTCATGTATTATTCTTGATGAGGGTATCTCCACCACAATATCCCTCCGTCGTTGCTAACACTGATGATGTATTGGCTGTTTGGACATATCTTAACTTTCACTACATCGCCACAGTGACCAATKCCAACATGTGTCACCTCGCCCACATTGTACTTCCATACCTGTAAAATATGACCTGCAGTTAGGAAAGCGCACGTGCAACTCAAAAATGGTGCGCATAAGAAATTATCTAGTGATTTCTATTTACGCAATAAACAACACATTTACGTGCATTCCTGGTGAAATAAACCTAGCGGGATGTTGGGAGAACACGAAAAAGGCGTAAAAAATCTCGAGCAGGAGACGAGTGGTTTATTTCACCAGGAACGCACGAAAATATGTTGTTTATTGCTTTTATATTATAGCATTTTCGCATCCGTGCGTTTACMGGTGAAATAAACAATAACATTTGACCAATCATAGAGCGTGTACTATGAATAGTATAATATAAAACCAATGTATACACACAATAGTACCACTAAAGACATATTCTCATGAGCGCGCMGRATGAGTGAGACGGTCCTAGAGCAAGCATGTCAGTCTGTGACATCACATAGGAAATTTGTGGGGTATATAGGCTACTCTTAGTCAAACACATAAACTTTACCTTTATCAATTTATCAGTCCCRCCAGTGACAAAGAAATTTCCATCACAAGAAATGTCCATTCCCTCAACTGAGCCKGATTTGGAACCTTCCAGCTCGCGAATCTGGGATCCATCGTATGTCTCCCAATAAGCAATCTATTAAACAGAAATGTTTCAATCAACAAATCATTTATTTACCTGGTGGATATAAGTAATATTTCTTACCTTTCTGTCAGTCCCAGCTGTAATAACTTGACATTCTCGAGCATCGTAGCACACAGCTTTGAACATGGTGTTTGCAAACACAATTTGAGATCTGACTTCCTTCCTAATGAACGATAAACATTGGTAAACTTATAACCTCCTATTTTAATCAATGGAAAATAGATAGATTTAAGAACACTGCTCTTTATTTCTGCTCTATATATCGCTTTATAACATAAAAACTGCTGAACTGGATGCTCATGTTTGAATATTGTTCATAAATAGCTACAAATAATAACTAAATGCACTTGTCTACTTACTCTAGATTCCATATGATACATGTGCCATCTTTACTTGCCGAAATACACTGAAATAAGACATTTGGTAATTATTCTWTCATTCATAACAACTTCAATCATTTGAAACTCCAATCACACATGACACCCAAACAAGACAATCACAGCAGATTCTGAAGTATATAGTTTGGGTGTCCAAAACCCAATTAAAGTATTTTAATTAAAGTATAGTTTTGCTGGCCATTACCTCAAGATCATTGCTCTTTACTTTGATGCATGTTACAGCTCCTGAAAAACAACCATGAACTTTAATATGATGATAAAGTGATACGAGAAACCTATACACCCTTTTAATAAGTCCCGAGGTATTGAGTTCTCAGCACTTGACGTCAAATTTATTTTATTCTTTTGAAATTTTTACAATACGAAAGGAATTGAAAAGAATAAATTTGACGTCAAGTGCGGAGAACACAATACCTTGGGACTTATTAAAAGGGTGTATAAGGGACTTGAAACATGTAGCGCCCGTACATTTCTTTAGTACCAAGCATTGGAATATTCAAAGCTCATTACAAATTCGAAAACGAACATTATAACCATATTTGGAAAATTCTGCCGTTGGATAAGAGATATAAGGCCCGTTCTGGTTGGCTAGGGTAATCGAATTGTTGCAAATAAGGACTGAATGAGATGCAAATTACATTTGAATGTTCCAAGGGAAGGCATGGAGTTACACGTTTCAAGTCCCTTATAGGTTTCTGGTGATAGTATTTCTTGTTCATGTATCAAGCTAGCAGACTCATATTTTTCATATGATATGCACTTAATACTAATTTCAACTATGATCAAAGATATTTGGCATACACGACTTTCAAAAATGGTGTGATGTGTCACGGTCGCCGACCAGGGCACTGGGGAYGAAGCACTAAAGYGAGTTCTCAAAGGCCAGCCTCCGTATAGTGAGCTTCAATGGTGCCTTGCAAGAGTGTTTTGTTATAAATAACATACCAATACATCTTTCAAACTTTTGGACACTGCCTACATACGATCTTCGTNGCTCAGCTCAGCTCAGAGCAAAGATAAAAATAGTTATTCATGTGCCAAATTTTACAGAGAAATATGCCTTGGTAACACATCAGTGCAGATACATAATTCCCTCCAACAAGGGCACATTTATGTCTTTATTATCTTATTCTCAATTAACTTCAGAAACCTAGTAGTTTTTATTATTATCTAACAGTCTCAACGAGGAGATCAATCAAGCAAAAAGACTACAGCAGCAAGTGATGTTGCCAGTGAAGCTGATCAAGATACAGTTTCTCCTGCCATCCCTGGAAATAGAAAACGACCACTTACTGAAACAATAGAAAAAATGCTGGCACTTGACCAGGCTGTTATACAAAGCATTGAATGTTGTCGTAAGTATCAAAATTTAGATACTACTAAGTGTGGTTGTTCAGTCTCTTTTAAAACCTGTTATATCGTCGGCCTTCCTGTCTCATGGCATGTTTTCTCAGGTTCTGTTATCTTTTATGTATGTTTGTGAGCTGGCTCTCTTTTTCTACGGTTCTTCTCAGTGTGAGATTCTTCAGCTTTGTCCGCGTTAAGGCAATGATACTGTGTGTTGATCTTTGAGCTGAGAAAGTGTGTGAACCGAATGTATACGAAGCAATCGTTTCCTAACGTTTTTATCTAATCGGGATACCTGCGTTCTCTCCTAGAGATCGAAAACCAGTACTCCTCCTTTGTATTTTTTTCTTTGTATGTCATCTATTTTCCATTCATTTCTTCATTTATTTTATTTGCAGCAAGTGAAGACACTAAACGTAAAATGTACGGTAATATTTTGTTAGTCGGTGGTGGTTTTAGCTTTAATGGTGCTGCAGCTATGTTACAAGCACGAGTACAAGCCAAGTTACCGACCTATCTGCGCAAACTCATTGATCAGGTTGAGGTGATTGCTAGACCAAAGGTATGTGCCTTGAATCGCATTATTGGTGGCATGAATGGGGGAAATGAAAAAGGGTCGGCGTGGTTTTCCTCACATTTCGCGTGCTCTGAAGGACTGTTGCCGAATAAAACTTTATAAGGTGTACCCTCCCTATTTGAATATGCGCACAGAGCATATTTCTCGAATATAGAGTAATAGCCTGATGGGCAAGTGTTTCTTTTGTGTCAACAATTATCATTGATTGTTTTGGTTTATCTGTGGAAAATACTGTCCAGCCTGTTTTGAGTGGATACCCCTAGGGAAACACAGGTTCAGATTTGTTAGAGATCAAGTTTATAGTGAATATAATATATATGAGAAACGAATTTTGGGAAAATTGATAAGAAGCGACTTCTTTATGAAGAAGGGTAATCGGCAAATAGAAGGCCGCTTAATAGAGATTCGACTGTGAAACCAAGGCACTCTTCTTCGCAGCCGGTTTAAGTTATCCGACAACAGGCAGCGAAGGAGTGTACAATCTAACATGATTATAAAATCTGCTGCATCTTAAGATGAATGCTCACTATCTTACAGGAGATGGATCCTCGTATAGTGGTGTGGAAAGGTGGCGCTGTGTTAAGTATCTTAGATTCAGTCCAAGAGCTATGGATTACCGAGCAAGAATGGAATATGATAGGAATACGTGCTCTAAGAGAAAAGTCATTGTTTGTGTGGTCTTCTATTTAAAGATGTCTTAGTAAAAWCCCTGAATGGCTTAACAAGTCCAACTCATGAACAGCGTCAACGCTCTCCTTACTGACGCGCACATCAAAAGAAATTGGAACAAAGAAGTTAGTGGATCKAATTTCCGCCATTACTAATAACTAAAGGCAATAAGTTGCGAAAGGAAAGATGTAGATAAAGCTGGAGAAACTCACAGTATCACGGAACAGAGACTATAATTGACACAAAAAGTGTATTGTATATAATGTCACAGTTCTTTTGAGAGTAGTAAAATTCTATATATCTCTTCCATGAAAATGGTTTGAGTACTTGATATATATGGACGATGTGACGTAAAAACAAGATTTTTATGACGTATATGTTTTCTTTGGGCATTTGTTATGAAAGTCTTGACTTACGTCACATACATCATATTGATCGAATATTGACGAACCAAAATAATGACTTAAAGATATATAATCTATTAATAGAAATCTAGCTATAGTGACTTTTTAAGGTTTTCGGAAGCTTCTAAAATGAATTGATTATTATTTACAAATACTGGCGATATAGCTCTCAACGAACACCAACCCGTATTAACTTCTAGCCAACTTAAACTGAATTGATTATAATACAGCTCTCAACGAGCAGCAATCTGTATCAACTTCTACTCAACAATCACATGCTCTTTCTAATGATCTAATGATCAATTGTTTTCCTGAGGCCCTCTGGGCTGTTAATGATGTCACCGCACAATGGTTCCTAATTATGGATGCACCTGTTTCGATTAGCTCGGCGTTTTTTGAGATTCGACTGATTTAACTTTCTGATAATCAAATCTTAAACCTTTTTAACATTTGAGATTTTTCTCAGTATTACTGGAAAAATAACCGTTTATTAAGTTCATGAAGTTATTTTTTCTTTAGCGCCTTCTTTTGAAGTTTAAATTCTATATAAACAATCTTAGAACTCCCTTTTATTCCTATTCAGTACACTCTTACAGGAAGCAGTTGTTTTCCTACGTACGTAATTAATTAAAAAAAAACTTTAGTTGATTRGGTGGTAGGAAAGTTACGAGTGTTTGAAACGGTGACGCTTCAAGGCGAGAGTAGATTTGGCATGGCTAACAGTACCAACTATKCCTTTTTGCCTGTAGAAAATCGCGTCAAACTCGCCCTCTACTCATTTGTTGGWATWTTTGGCATTTATGCTGTTTTTGCGAACAGTTTGATTCTACACTTCAAGAGAAAACAAAACCAACGAAGAAAGCGGAGGTTTAAAAAAGCGTTTGATCGTTTTATGGTGACAAGCGTGTTTGTTCAAAGTCTTGCTGCATCTGACTTRCTGTGCGCTGTTGTTTCCCTACCATTGGCTATCACTWCAAACTTTGTACAYATCATTGACACGGACTTGACGTGCAAGGCAGTTAGGTTCTGCAATATCTTTTTTCCTGTAGTGACCATTTCTAACTTGTTTGTCATTGGAGTAGAGAGATACCTTGCAATCTTCCATCCTTTTCAAGTACCGTCCTTGCGTCGTGTAAAGGGCTTGGTGGTGGCTTCCTGGGTTCTCAGTGTACTCTTCACAATTATACCATCTTTGACCTATCGACTTGTTCGACGCGACTTAGATCAAGGCTTCACTTTTCTTTGTGCCCAAGATAAAAGTGTTCCTATTTACAGGATTATGTTCCTGGGTTTTTCTATCATAGTTTACGTCGTTCCTGCTATGATTCTAGCTGTGACAAGTACTCGRATACTCCTGTATATGAAAAAGCGYAGAATGAATTTACCAAGCCAGCGCATTCGCCTTACCTACTGGAGGTTTTATGGAACTTTCACATTTGTCGCTTTGATTTTTACTTTTATAATACCTTATTTCTCATTCATTGTTTTCTCGGGACTTAATATTATGCTTAAATTAGAGTTAACGTTAACAAGCGAGTATATTTTGAGAAGGATAAGCGCTGTTTTAGCTTACTCTAATACAGCTGTGAGCCCCACTGTGATATTATATAGTATGCAGGACTTGAGAAGGATGCTAAGAAAGAGATKMTTTGGGAATAATGATGCTSYCATCACACGTCCTTTGCGTTTTACTCGAAGAAATGCTGTGGGTCCTWATGCTCTAGATCTYTGCMTCCCTGCCATGTCACAAACAATGCCTTCTTCCTCTCTCTGTGAAAATATGGACGATATGTTTGCAMAAGCACACAACGCAAGACGATTCACGGTAACTTCAAAGCTKTAATTCATGTTCCATCAGCAAAAACAAACACTTTACACTTTATATTTTTATTCGCAAAAGACAAAATATAAACATAAAATTGCTTATTGTACCAGTATTGTAATATAGTACAAATATATAACACCGTTTAGATAAAAGTTTCTGTCGAGATAATTATCGAAGAAGACATTGACGGAAATTTTACATGAAACTTTAAGTAGTTGAGGACCTTTCTCCTTTGAAATTATAAATTAAAAGGCTCATCAATTGACACATTGAAAGTCCTCTAACTACTTTTGAACAATCTACATGTATTCAATATAGTTGTGTATACAATTTATATATAATACATATATAATCAAGTGTTCTAACATCTATTATCACTAGGTAATCGAATCAGTTTCATGTATTATTCTTGATGAGGGTATCTCCACCACAATATCCCTCCGTCGTTGCTAACACTGATGATGTATTGGCTGTTTGGACATAT